AATATGGGAATATAAAATTGTGGTTCAAAGGATCCTTCAGTTGTTGGGAGGATCAGCTTTTTAGTCGAGTCCCTTTTGACCTTGACCTTTGACCTAGTGACTTCAAAATCAAAAGGGGTCATCTACAAGTGATAACAAACCAGGATTTTTTTTTCAAATACCCAAGAGGAGAAAAACAAGATATTTTATCAACCACAATTATGTACAAGTAACAACTCAGTAAAATAGAGCAAAAGAAGTCAAAGATAGTTAACTTTTATAGCAAATGAGTATTTTGTAGAAACTGGAACTTGATACCGACAAAACGTTTTTGAGAAATAAAGTTGATAGCACATCTGAGGCATGATATGGGCCTTTAAAAATGTAACAGTACTGAAATAACTAACTTCTCTTATTATCATTACAACTTTATATTGATATTTTTGGTTTATAAGACTCTTATTTTATATTCAAGCTTAGTTTGCATTTGATTAAAATTCCATAAAAATATAGTTAATTAATCTGCGCGATGATAGATTTGTTTTATTGTTATAAATGAAAAAATACCCCGATAATACTGTTATATTCATTCTTGCTTTTATTAAACAAACAGTGAATTTTCTTTTCAGGGCAGAACAAAAATAAGTATGTGCTTGCTTATTTTATGTGGAGAGTAATGACTGGTCAGACTGAAGTGATAGAATACTTAAAGAGACTCCACTGAGGTTTTTTGACATGATGGGACTGAAAATATTTTTTCCAGATAAATGTACTATTTGATGTAGGTTTAGACCACTAATCTCTGTGCAAAATTTCAGATCATTCGTGAACTTCGTTTTTCCAGAATAATAATTCATATTGTAAAAACTGACCCAAAATAAAAAGCGTTTAAACGCTTTTCATTCAAATTGGGCTAAGAAAAGCATAAAAATACGATTTTCAATTTATTTCAAAGTATATTTCTTAACTATCTTTGCATATATTTCTGTTTAAAGTGCCCCAGCTTATTTATGTAATGAATGCAAATGTTATGTTTTTAGGTTTTTAAACCTCAGTGGAGTCCCTTTAATGCAAATTCCAGGTATGTTGGTAATATTCTATACGCACGAGTGATTCTACGTGCACCGTTTTAAACGGAATCAAACGGAATCTATATAATTTAATTTTGATTTACTCAACAAAAAGAAAATAGGAACATATTATCATACATTATCCGGCTGAAAATCGCTTTTATGTCATGTATGTACGCATGAGTTATTAAATTGCGATCAATGCCCGATGAATGAAAGCGGTTTTTATAAAAGACACGTGCTATGTTCTCTTGACCAAGACATCACGACAATACCGCTAAGGCATCTCTCAGAGAGTTAAAAAAACATTGGCGCTTGATATTTAATGTTTATGTATTTCGGAATATTAAAACATTCATTGTTAGTTTTACTCAAAATGCTTTGTGCCTAAATGACATGCTAGAAATTCTCGTTACTACCTGACAAAGATTTTTTAGTATGAAAACAATGTGCAGCAATTTACACCTTTAAATTAGCATGCTAAAATGTTTAGCCTTGTTATATTGAAACACGCCCGATGTTTAGTAGATTCCGGCTTCGCCCACATCAAGCGAGTATATAGACGAACAGATGTAGAGACGCTTGGACAGCTTGAAAATGTTGTAAACAAATCATCAAAAATTAATGTTGCTGTCCGTTTTTCACAATGGGCATGGAGAAATTGGAAGTCATTCTTAGATGGAAAATTTAAAGCAGTGAAAGGAATAAGGTAGTAAACAGATCCAACATACATATACTGCTTTAATAATAATAATAATATACTTATAATACTAACATAGTGGTAGTAATGATGTTACAAATAAATAATAGAAATAATTATGATAAGAATAATATAAATAGGAAAGAAGTTCTCGTAACTGAGTTAAAAAAATATGATTTAATCAGTATAACTTTCATAATAAGCTTAATATTGCTTAGCAGAAATGAGATGATGAGTTTAAATTTCAGGAAATATCAGTACTTCCGGTTTACTGCAGACGAACCAGGTATTGTTACCGTGCGGATTTCATCTGATGATCAAAGTGAGGAAAAGATTTCTACTTTAAAGAATCAGTCCTCACGTTTTGAATTGGCTGTCAGACCAGAACCAATACAACCAAGTGGGCTTAGTCAACGGCGGCAAACCTACATGAACAACACCGTACGGCCATACGTCAGACCAGCGTATAGAGACGAGTTTTGTGGTGTACATATTTGAAGCAAATGTTAAAATAGAGAAATAAAAATTATTGATTGATAAAACTTTAATTTTTTTTTTGTTTCAGGAATCTTATATCTGTTTGGTGTTTTAACAGACATCTCCTTTGAATAAACATTTCGAAAAATGTTACAAACTCACGTATTCAGAAAAAATATCTTTGGCCATGATAATAAAATCATATAAAATGTACCACTACCATACCATTTACTTATTCATTATTTCAAGTTAATAGGGCTTATATGTTTTTCCCTCGCCAATAAATAGTATTTGAACATACCTGATGCAAGAAAAGCGGGAAACGATGACGTGATAAATGGGAAACATTGACGTCAATTTAGAGACGACAACAACAACGTCAATAAGTTTCAACATGACGTTGTGAAATAAGTCATATTGAAAAAAATAATAATCTCTTTTGCATATGAATTATATCGCTGGAAAGCATATTTCATGAGCTTTAATTTGATGTGAAAATCTCAAAATCGATAAAAATGTCATTAAGACCCCAAATCGCATGACTGTGCCCATATCTATATATGTTGAACGAAATTTAGACGCCGATAGAATCACTGAGTAGTTTTAAAACAAGCCATGTGACTCGAACAAACTCTGGAAGTTACAATAACAGATATTGTGGATATTATAAGATTGAAACAAGTCTAAGCCATTCATTTGACCTGTTCTTTAACGTTTCCAGAGTTCACAATGACAACTTTTGTGAACTTTTAACGCTCTAACCTGACCCACGTTGGTCAAGTTAGGATACCAACATTTTATTCATTATGAGAAAAAAAGTTTTGCTCCTGTGATTGCCTGGTGTATTCATTTTGATGACATTTACATAATGATGAATGAAAACTTTAAAAGCGAAGAATTGAAAATTTTGCCTCTGTCTCCCTTTAAAATAAAACAAAACACAGATAGATTTAACACATATTTTAACCTCTCTAGAAGCTAACAAACCTTAAACAACCAATAAATTTCATCTCCAAAGAGAGAGACTTGTTCTGTTTGCAGGGTCGTAGGACATGGCGGACCATGAGACAGGGCTGACCGTACCAGGGTGGACGTATGTTTGGACGGGGCGGACCATATTTTGGGGACAGGGCGGACCGTGACTCGAGACGAGGCGGACAGTGCTTAATGTCAAATTATATACTGCTATTTTATTTATTTTCTTTTATTTTTTTTATATCAATGTCATCATAAACATGTCATATATTTTTAAGCATTTTCATATTGAAAAGATTATTATTAACATTTAGCAATACAATTATAATTATAAAATAGCGCAACATAGTTGGAATTAATTGAAAAAAATCTGTGTAAAACATATTTTCCTTTTGCGCTAATATTAAACTTGACAGAATTACCTTAATTTAAATGTTTTATTTACCATTCTAAACATTTCAGCTGAATAGAGGAATAATGATGATTTATATTAGTTTAGTCGTTAATATCGGAAAACCAAGAAATGTAAACATGTATATCAGTTCGCTAAACAGACAGCATCTTAAATATGACTAAGCAAAAAAATCATTTCTGATATAAATCAACTCGTCAAAAGAATAAAAAAGTGAGGAGAAGTCAACCAGGAGCATGCAGTCAAAATTGATGACATTATAGATAAAATATTTCAACAAGACACTTTCCACCCAAAAAAATCTTGATAGCAAGCCTTGATGGTGCATAATTGTACATAATATTATGTGTTTATATGAATATATGTTAATATGTAAATCAATCGGTATACATCAGGTTTTTAAGTTTTGTTAACGTATATATGTTTGTCTGACTTTGTCATTATGTTTTAGTTTATCTGTCAAATAATAAGTCATCTTTTCTGTGTACGATGTTAATTTTGTCTACATTTTGTGTTCATTTTTTGTAATGCCACTCATCATCATTTTATTCTATAGTTTTGTACATGTATTGTGTTACCAATGTCAGACGTGAATAACAAGCCTTTTTGCATCGTATTGTTAATTAAAGTTTTACCCTCTTATCATTTAACAAACAATGACAATAATTGGTCAATTATCACCTGCATAATGTACAACTCTATGCGGTTATTAAAAATTACATTAAACTAATGTATTCTAAATTAATGAACTGCATTAATATATGTATATGTTTATAATGATATTAAAAGAAAAAAGAAGAGGCAATATTAAAATATTTTTAAATTAAATCACGGTCCGCCTCGTCTCGAGTCACGGTCCGCCCTATCCCAATATATGGTCTGCCCTGGTACGGTCCGCTCTGTCTCACGGTCCGCCCTGTCGTAATTCGTTTGCAGATGTTATATACACTTACTTGGCTAAATCTTTCTCTTGTACAGCCGTGGTCCTATCTTGTTCAAGTCGTAACTTTTCCTGAGCGTGTTGTCTTTTCAGATGATCTATTTTTTCATCAGTTCTCTCCCTTAGCTCTGTTAACTGCCTTTCTTTCTCTGTCAGAGAGCGACGCATTCTCATTATCTGTAAATACAGAAAGCAGGTAATCTGTTCCTTATCAATGTATCATGAAACCTTGTTGAAATTGTTTGTTTTTATTGTATAGGTTTTCCTTTAAAGTTAGTATGCTTTTTATGAATTGAAAGAAATTGTCATACAAATTTAAGTAACCGTTGTTAAATAAATTTTTCCTTCTAAATGTAACAACACTATTAACATACATGAAAACATGAATCTAGTACAATTTTTAGTCACTAGATTACAACTGTATACCAAATTCACATGCATGTTTTTTCTAATCAAAACTCAATAACAGCTTTAGTTAAAAAATTCAAAGCATGTTAAATTAATAAAGGCAGATTATAATTTAATTGTGAAGAATAATACAAATTGTCTTGTGCAAATATCTTGTGTCAATCAGTTTTCATCATCAAAGGGAGACAACAAAGTCAGATATGAAATACCTGCTTAAGAGAGTTATCTTCTTCAGAGTTAAAAATAAATCCAGCAAACCCAATACTTTAATTGTTGTTAGCAACTGGGAAATTCCTGAAGTGTTTTGTTTTGCTTTTCAAATATTGAAAATCTAGTGACTTCATGATCTTAAATCATCTACAGAAGTTATACAAAAAGGTAAAAATTTAATGATTTAGATTACTGTAGAGGTCAAGTTTTTTATTTATTGAAAGATAATATATTATGCTTAAATTTGTAACAATATTTCGACTGCATCAACAAGAAACAATAGCAATGGAAGGAAAGTAATAAGCAATCAAAACTGCACCAAAAAGTTGAAATGGAAAAGTATAAATCAGTCAGAAATATCATAAACAATTTCAGACTGTGCTGTCTGGCTATAATTAAATCAAGATCAAGGCGGATATATATGAAAAAGGATTATTTATTGATGCCTATGTATATTTTTGATAAGCAAAATGCGTTGATTATCAATGTACCTTGACAAAGTGTCACCGTGTTGCAATTTGTTATTTTTTTGTATTGTTTTTATTGTATTTGGTCTTTTAGGTTAATCAGTTTAAGTATGAATGAAACGAAAATCTCATACAAAGTAACCATAGTTGAATAAACTTTTTCTTTAAACTATTATGACACTTTTGGATAAGCATACATGAAGCATGAATCAAGTACAGTGTTGAATGACTGGATTGCAACATTATACCAGAATCACATACATGTACATGTATTTGATTTTGCTTTTAAACAACTTTCAATAATACAGCTAAAGTAAACACATTCAAAGCATATAAAATTAATATAGGCAGATCAATAAATAATAACAGAATAATAAAAATTGTATCTTGCAAATATCTTGTGTCAATCACTTTTTTCTTGTGTCAATCAGTTTTCATCCAAGGGAGTTAACAAATGTCAGATATAAAGTAATTGTAGCGATTGTAGAACTGAGTTATCTTCTTAAGACAGAAAGAGAAAGAGGACGTTAAATGATTTCAGAAAACCCAACATCCTAGATATTAATACTAGGGATATTTCTCAAAAATTTTGTTTTATTTTTAAATGTTGAAAATCTACTGACTTCATGATCTTAAATTTTCTGCAGATTTAAACAAAACGGTAATAATTTAATGATTACTATAATACTACTGACAAGTGTTCATTAATATTTATTTCAAAATGATGTCAAATTTTTGTATTTGTATTTTTCATTTCATGTAAAAAATAAACTGAATAAACTGAATTCCAAAAAAAAAATCATCTTCAACATATCATCATACAATAAAAAATAACAAAGATTTATAATGATGAAGATGATTATAAAAACAATTTTTTATTTTGGAAAATTTTACATTTTAACAATAATTATCTAAGGTAAGAAAATCAGAAAAAAATAAAAAAATTATATATGCTAGAAACTTTATAATATTTTAAAACAATGATATTTTCAGAATGTATCAAGTACCAAATTACACCCCGACTGTGTCAATGAAACTATCAGAGGTTCTGGCTGATATAGGTGTTGATGAGAGAATACTGATGAAAACGAGAAGAGCATGGCTTCTGAGTGAATCAATAATAAATATAAATTTCCAACTACTTGATAAAGATTTTTTTGTAAGATACTTCTTTGGGAGTCAATCAGAAGGAACAACTACAAATGGAATGAATTCAGACATGGATCAACTTATTTGTAGCAAATTACTCCCTGTGATACTAGACTTGAGTGACTGGATACCTGGTGTATTAAATCTTTTGATGATTCAAGATAATTCTGTATCTCCTGGATATTGTTTACTTCAATGTCTGAGAGATGATGCTCCTCTTCAGTTTGATGACGATGAATCTGATCAATTCTTCTTCAAGGACAAAACAGGAAAATTACTTGTAAAGAATTCCGTATTAACTTGTAAAAAAATGTTGGGTTTTGAATTACATGGGCCATCATATGCAAAGCAAGGAAGTCAACCAGGCGACTGCGATTATGATAATGTGGTTGCTCTTCATTGCACAACATTGCCCCAACAAGCAAGACAATGGTTGGATCAACAAGGTGAAGGTCAATGGCCGTCTGCTGAAATGAAACAATATTGCAGCAGAACTGGATGCTTTGTTGTTGGTGTTGGATGTTTAGGCAGTGAACATGAGCAACTTGAATGGAGAATATCAACATCTTTAGCAGAAAGGTGTTTAATGTTCAACCTGAATATTACACAGATTCGCTGTTATATCTTAATGAAAATGATTTTAAAAACATTAATTAATCCATCGTTTAATGATGTTATTTCAAGTTTTATGTGTAAATCTGTTCTCTTCAACTGTGTTACCAAAACAGCTTTATACTTCTGGAGAGAAAATAACTTACTTAATTGTCTATCACTATGTTTATATCTCCTGTACAACAATATCATTAATGAAAATTGTCCACATTTTCTCATACCTGAGAACAATTTGATGAAGGGAAAAATTTCACCTGCAGTCAAGCCACATATCCTGAAAATACTCAAAAATATCATCAACAGTGAAGGAGTGGCACTACTTGGGATTAAATGTGATAATCTTGGTTCCAGGCTTCGTCTCAAGTTTTATAACATCTGTCCAATCAAAACAAGTTACCGTACTTCAGCATGGCAATTATTAAATTTGGCTTTACGTATATCTGATACACGGAAAAAAACGGATAATCATCTTCAAGGAAGTAGTACTGATGATGAAACTGTAGAAATATTAAAAAACTATGTATCGAAGACATTCAACTTTCAATATGGAGGATTGGATAAGACAGCCAGTCTTCTTTTGCTCCCATGGTATTGTACAACACTTGGATCTGTCCTGGCTTCCATCGACATAAATCAATATAAAACTGTATCAGCAGATGCCCTCAAACTCATCTCACTTGGTCTGAATACAGATGTTGCATCAAGTAAACTGAAACTAGCTTCAATCTTATACTGTATTCAAGAAATACAAAAAGCTGACTTGGTTCTCAGAGAGACTGAAAGAAGATATGATCTACAAATTGTTGAGCCTGTCTGTAGTTGTTATGATATTGAGGTTTCCCCATTGAGGTATGGTTTCACTGAATTATGTTGCAATCATAATGAAGAAGTCTTACAGTATATAACAGCATCATGTGTTAAATTTATGCCATGTGAAATTCACTGTGTACCAAATGAACTCAGATATGAAATGTTTAGATCTACACAACTGGACAGACTGCTTCGTACAGAAAGAGACAACGACTGGATGGATTGTGCTGTAGTGGATTCCCTGCCTTACCTCTACTTTCTACAATACAAAGTTTACTGCCATCTTGGAAGACATGACCAGAAACAAGCCGCTCTCTTCGAACTAATCAGAACCATAAAAGAGGAAGCAAACCTTGGTCATCGGGAAACAGCTCTAAATATTCTAGGAAAGTGCATGGAACAAGAACGTAGAGCTAGATATGCTCTACATTATTATTATATGTCACTTAATTTAAGAAGGAGAAACAATGCTGCAAAGATTCATATTTGTATACTACTCTCTGCATTGATAAATTCAAGGACATAAAAGGTGCAACAAAAATGTAGAATCTATTGAACACCTCTTTTGACAATGTTCTTACACGCAACTTTTTTGGAGGGATTTAATAGAGTATTTCAAAAGAAGAAATATTATTATAGAAATTAATTTGAAAACAATATCTCATTTAATTACAAGCACAGATACACAAAAAGATGCAAAAAACTTTATTCTTTTGGTGGCAAAATATTACATATATAGTTGCAAAATTGGAAAACGCACACCACAATTTAACTTATTTTTACATTATTTTCGGAGCAGACTATGTATTGAAAAATGTATTGCATTTAATCGAGATAAACTGGAAACTCATTTTCAAAAATGGAATAGAATTTTCCAATAGAATATAATAACATATGAAAATACCTTACTTACATGAATATAAAAACAATTATGTTTAGAAGCAGTCAAAAACTGTTGATGTATCTTTTTTTTTGTTTTTTTCTTGTTCTTTTGTATTAATTGTTCACCCCCTTTACTTTTACCCTTTTTCTTTTTGTTCAAATATTAGGTTACACTTATACGAGTATCGTATTGCCGATGGTACCCGAAATGTATGTGTGCTGTTTTGTGTGTGCTGTTTTGTGTGTGCGTTATGTTCGAAATATGTATAGTTATAAATCCTGTTGGTATCTATGAATTGGAAATGTGGGTGTATGGGTGCGGATGTGTGTGCGTGCATGTGTTTGTGTGTGAAAGAAACAACTCTTTGTGACCATGCTCTTGTATAATCTGGACAGAAGTTTATTATATGTTATGTACACTGTATTACTGTATGATCACTGAGAAAAAAATAAATTATAATAAAAGTATTGTTTTGCACAATTGACATGAGACTCATTAATTTTCGGGAGGTGTTTCGTTAGTTACCGTAACTTATTATGATTAATGTTTAAAATTTTATCTATTGTATTAATCTCGATATTAAATAAATTAATACTGCTTGCACGATGGCCTATTGGTATGACGAAGTTGTGACTGTATGGTTTACTTCAGAATCCGATAATTACCGACAAATAATTTACCGGTCATCGAATATGTACAAAGTGACTATCAAAATATACATGTTTTAATTATTGAATGAAACAATGGAATTCTTCCATAAAAGTTGCGTCTACATAAAACAATTATTCTCATGCACTTTCGAAAAAATATATAATTTAGTTGAAATCAAGTTAACGTTTAATTGCCTTACAGTGCGATAAAATATCATCACAAAGATATTTTATTAGTTTTCAAATGTATCTAATACGATTCCCCATACCTCATACGGTTTTGAAAACCTGCGCGACGGAAATCGACGGGACAATTACCACTATTGATTTCAGTGATGTCCCTTTTGAGCATATAAATTTATTTTGTGATTTTCAACCTTAACTAAACTATTGTCATTCATGTCAAAAGTTTGACAGAACGGGCCAAGTTAAACCCTTTACCAAGAAAAAATGAAGGTTTTGAAAATTAATTTTTAATTAGTAAAATATGAGTATACAGACCTTTCTTATGATATAAAATATGAATCTAATTAATGAAAAATAATTTTGTAATTATTCATAGAAAATTACTATGATTTGCATTTTATCAGCCGCTATATGATTCACAAGTTGCCTGTATGTCTTACCAGCGATCTGTTACTATTAAAAGATTTCATAGCAATAACATACAATTTGTAGTCACGTGATTCTTATAAAAGAACAGGGGGAAATTGTTTATAGTAAGAAAAAATAATAGAATAGAATAGGTCTCATAAAATATAAACAACCAAATAATTTAAATGTGTCAAATCAAATATCATTCATGATATACTTATCATAAAATAGCAAGCTTGACACTAAGAAAAAGTACAAGTATCCCTATATTAAATGATTTATCCATAGGGATACATTATAAATTCATGTAATAAGGATTGTAATGTTGCTTTGTAAGATGTCAATATTTGTATATTTCATTTCATTGAGCTACGTTCTTAAATGTTTGAATTTTTAAGGTTATGAAAATAAGTGTGGTCCTTAATTGTTCAATAATTGATTTGTTTTTATTTTTAGATTTTAAGGCCTTCTCCTACCGTAGATATAATTAAACTGTTAAAATATAGGGCAGGGCTACAATGACTCAGATAAAACAAGCAAACTCGTTGAATGTATACCCCACCTCACCCACCCCCCGCCATGTCTGGTTATTAAATACACAACAACTGAAGACTTAAGGCTTTATTTATATATTTATCATGGCGTAAACAGTAATTTTTTAAGTACATAACAAATATTCAGGGCAAAAACAGAGCCTTAATTAACTCGGGAGTTAAATAGTAATATCTTGACATGGCAATGAGATGTAAACTGCCTTTTTGTATCTATGGTTCCCGTAAAGTTCTGTTGAAAACAAAAAAAACAGTTGCAAAGAAATGGCAATATTGCTATGTATTCTAAATAACTAATAAAGGATCATAACTCTGTAATGAAGGGTCTGGTCTGAACAAGGGAACAAATTATGCACATCTCATCTTGGTATTTAAGTTAAATTGAATTCCAGCCAGTAGTTGCAGATAAGTAGCGCGGTAACAATTATTGCTCTATATGCATACTGCATAACTAGTCAAGGGCCATAACTCTAGTTAGTGTCTGACCGAAACAAGGCGATGATATGCGCATCTCCTCTTGGTTTTGAAGGTTCCATAAAGTTTGCCCTATATGCATTCTGCATAACTAATCAAGGGCCATAACTCTAAGTTAAAGTGTCTGACCGAAACAAGGCAACGATATGCGCATCTCCTCTTGGTATTAAAGGTTCCCATAAAGTTTCGTTGAATTCCAGCAAGAAGTCTCTGAAAACTCTGATTTAAAGTGTCTGACCAGAACAAGCCGAAGACACGCACAACTCCTCTTGGTATTGAAGGTTCCCATAAAGTTTTGTTGAATTTCAGCCAGTAGTTGCAGAGAAGTAGCGCGGAAACGAATTTTGCTCTATATTGCATAATGTATAACTAATCAAGGGCCATAACTCTGAGTTAAAATGTCTGACTGGAACAAGCCGACGATATGCGCATCTCCTCTTGATATTAATGATTTCCATAAAAATTCATTGAATTCCAGCCAGTAGTTGCAGAGAACCAGCGCGCAAACAAAATTCGGACGAACGAATGGACATCCTTACATTTGTATTTTTGTTGGGTATTTTATTGTGTAAAAAAGTACCCAACAATACATCAAAATTCATTAAAAATAACGAACAATACATACGGAATGAGTAGGATTGGTAGTTGTTGGGTATCTACTAACTCTCGTGCGTTCGCTCAGACGGACGGACACCACCAAGACAATATCCCCCTCCAAATTCCATCGGCGGGGGATAATAATAGCCAATTTTTTTAACCTTAAAAAAAGAATAACCAAAAGTTCAGCTGTCTATTCACGATTTAGCGACTAACAACATAAGATTAAATAAATAGTAGAATTACTGTATAACAATAATAGTAAAGGTTCATTATAAGTTAACACAAGAAAAGCATTGATGCAAAACATCAAAGGGCGTCCAAGCAAGAAATGCAGCAATTGAAGATGAACTAGTAGACATCTGATGACAATATATTCTTATAAACTTTTCAATGGTTAATTGGTTTTTACCAGAATTGTATAATATTTATGAATGGGCAGACATTATTCATCATGAACTCTGGTAGGCATGCTCGAGATGAGAATCCTTAAATGAAAGAATCTGGTAGGAGCAAATTGTTTGAAATCTGAATGACATTGACTTCTCCGCCACGGATAACGAATACTAGTAACATGAATAAGTTTATGTATTGGGTTTTAGAGTGTGCCAACACTGTGAAGGTCATATGCTTACTTGTAAGGTTTACTGGTAGAAAAATACCTCAGGTTCCCTTTTGTGGAATGTTTCAGGCATTAACAGTCACCTGAGTAGAACCACCGATGATCCTTACAAGAAAGAGTCCTTTGTCCCTTGCTAGATTGGAACTCATAGTGGTGAGGGTCTAGTGGTTTGAAAGCACTCCGTATCTTACTTTAGAAATTGATCATTTTAACTGTTATGTTATCAATATTTAACCTGATTATGATTCATCCCACTTCATTTGTCAGCATCACACCATGTTCTAAATCATTTTCCTTCAAAGTTTTTCCTGTAGGTGGTATGCTTTTAAAGACTGCATCTTTTTCAGTTTTAGGCCTTCAGTTAATTGATAACATATATATTTTTAGTTTTAGAAATACATGTTAGCATTACTGCAACAAATACAATTGTCAACAATGTATATCAATCTGTTTTCTTTAGTTTCGTATAATAATGTTTAAATCAAACAATTTTCACGTATTCATATCAACATGAATCTATTTTTTGTAACTCTGAAATTAAAGTAAAAATGAGATGAGTGATGTTCAGTTCTGTTAAACTGATATTTTTTCTTATAATATTTCTAACTCAAATGCTATATTCAAAAGTAAATGAAAAAACATCAAATTTCAAAGGCGTATGTCAAAAGAACAAGAAAGTAGGTCAAATGATATAAAATTCAAGTCAATATTTATTTATGACATTTTTGTTTTAAAAAAGCCAAACATGCACAAATGTATGATTCTTTTTTAAATTGAATATTTTTATAAATAGTTAAATATATCTTAATTATGAAAATAAATTTAAACAAGATATGTTTGTAAAACATGTATGCCCCCTATGGGCAGCCAATAAGTCATGTGATCAGATTATTATGCATGACTTCCAGTGAACAAAAATTAATAAGAGTTATCTACTTGTCATGACAAGTCACAAGGTAATAACTATTGTGACCCCAAAGGTTGTGTGCAGCAATTACAAATCTTACCAAATAATATATGAATAAATTTTATGAATCATGTAGGCCTCATTAATGACAGCCAAGTTGTTATATTACACGAGACATTCAAATGTGTATACCAAAAGCATTTTTAGTTTAATATGAAAATATCAACCAAGGCAACTTGAGTTGTTGAGTTATTGGTCAGAAACTATCATAATGTACAAGGTCAATATGACACTGACCCCTTGACCCCAAAATCAATAGGGGCCATCTGCTGGTCATGACCAATCCTCATACCAAGTTTGAAGTTCCTGTGCCTAAGCGTTCTTTAGTTATTGATCGGAAACTGTTTTTTCCCTACAAGGTCAATGTGACCTTGACCTTTGACCCCTTGATACCAAAACCAATCGGGGTCATTTGCTGATCATGACCAATCCTCATACCAAGTTGGAAGTTCTTAGGCCTAAGCGTTCTTTAGTTATCGATCGGAAACCCTTTTTACCTACAAGGTCAATGTGACCTTGACCGTTGACCCCTTGACTCCAAAACAATAGGGGTCATTTGCCGGTCATTACCAATCACCATACCAAGTTCAAGGGCCAAAGCATTTTTAGTTATTGATCGGAAACCGTTTTTACCTACAAGGTCAATGTGACCTTGGCCTTTGACCCCTTGATCCAAAAATCAATAAGGGTCACTAACTAATCATGACCAATCATCATACCAAGTTTGAAGTTTCTATGCCTAAGCGTTCTTTAGTTATTGATCGGAAACCGTTTTTACCTACAAAGTCAATCTGACCTTGACCTTTGACGCCTTGATCCAAAAATCAATAGGGGTCATCTGCTGGTCATGATCAATCCTCGTACCAAGTTTTGAAGTTCCTAGGCCTAAGCGTTCTTTAATTATTGGTCGGAATCTGTTTTTACCTACAAGGTCAATGTTACCTCGACCTTTGACCCCTTGACCACAAAATCAATAGGGGTCATCTGATGGTCATGACCAATCCTCATACCAAGTTTGAAGTTCTTAGGCCTAAGCGTTCTTTAGTTATTGATCGGAAACCGTTTTTACCTATAAAGTCAATGTGACCTTGACCTTTGACCCCTTGACCACAAAATCAATAGGGGTCATTTGCTGGTCATGATCAATCATCATACGAAGTTTGAAGTTCCTAGGCCTAAGCGTTCTTTAGTTATTGATCGGAAACCGTTTTTACCTACAAGGTCAATGTGACCTTGACCTTTGACCCTTTGACCCCAAAATCAATAGGGGTCATCTGCTGGTCATGACCAATCATCATACCAAGATTGAAGTCCTAGGCCTAAGGGTTATGTAGTTACCACTCGGAAACCATTTGGTCTACGGATCGACGGACCGAGAGACAGACAAATGCAAAGCAATATACTCCCTCTTTTTTGAAGTGGGGGCTTAAAAAGAATCATTCCTTACATAAAAAAAACAAAATGTTACAGAGAAGGATAAGTAACACATTGATAAAAAGTGCAAATTAACAAGTATAATGCATTAAACAAATTTTATACTTCTTTAATGATTCCTAATCTGTTCTTACAACAGGGACGGATATAAACATAACATCAGGTCTGTAAAACTATGTCCATTTAAGCTATATTATAATTTGAAAAAATATACATTTAAACATATTTATATAAATGTGAATAGATAGATATGCGTAGATATAAAGCTGAGAATTCAGTCAAAATTCATTCATACATTATGATTGTCATATGAATAATATAAACATTTTCCCAGGGAAATCTCTAGATCGAGTTCAAAGTCTATAAAAACGCGAACATACAAGACACGAAAACATTTCTCTTTAAGTCTTAAAATCTGTTAAATACACCAATCCTACATACATACTTACATACCGAATCATTTGGCTTACTAGTATTATTATCTTTTTTTTTATTGACTTTTGTCATTTAATATGTTTCTTATTGTTACAAAGTCTTTTGTTAATTGTGTTTGCTTATCATATGTGTTATGGTTTTTAGGTCTTTTATTATATTCTATTCTATTCACCAATCAGTTATTGGACACAAATATAAAGAATATCCTGAACAAGATATGTTTGTATGCCCCCTATCGGAAGCCAATTTTGAAACCATTTAAGGTCTTCGGACCGACACAAAGACAATGCAAAGCAATATACCCCCACTTCTCTGAAGGGGGACATAATAATATTTACATTACTAATGTTAAAACTTACCTCTTCTGAGACTTTATTCGTACGTTTTTGTATGTAAAATTCTAAACGTTTTCTGTACGTTAAAAAAGCACAAATGAAAATGGCCGGTTAATGGAAGGGAGATAACCTATAGATATTCGTAACAGTTGTTAAATAGTATTCCTGTGAAGATTTGTAATAAAAGGAATATTTTCACCGAGGTTGAAAAATTGAAACATGCATAGATGGTTATATTGAGAATATGCAAATCAATTCATTTAATTTTTTTTTTATTTTGAAATTGTGGTAGTTATGACAATAAATAAAATTGAATCGGCTAAGAGTTTATACTGTGGTAATTCAAGAGTTACTTTGGTAAATGTAATGAAATTTTAAATATGCATAGATTGCAATGTGGAGAATATGCCCATCTCTTTATTTTGCTCCAACTTTGAAAAGTTTGTTTACAAGTTTGTTTATCATGCTCATTATGTATACAATTTGTCATAAATTAACAAGATACATGTTCAGTACATTATTCATGAAATATGAATATGGTTTTGTATTTCACCACTTTTTGTCAAGAACATTGGTATTTATAGATCAAAGCTTATGGGATTTGACCGCGACAATCGAAACGAGAACTTTTGATATAGGGCTTGTTAAATAAGTTTGAAACCTGCTATTCAAGTTGTTTGGCACGAATAAAGATCTTTAGTGGCTCGTGCCTGAAATAATGCACAGAAGGGTGACTGAGGTCTTCCTCCGCCAGTAAGCTGGAATGTCACTATATGACAAATAGATAGACTTCTGTCTTCAGTTTTTTGGAACATCACAATATATCAACACAGATTTCTTTCAGTTAATGCTTTATTCAGCTTTGCATAATAGAATTACAGTTAAATACTGGTACATATATCATAAAATACAATTAATATCTACTATATGGAAAAGAGTTTTGCAATAAATGAAAATGGAATGATTCAGCATTTTGCTATAATTTTAAATGTGAAATAGACAAACAGCAACATATATATTGGTACAAATATTATAAAATCCATTTGTTATACTATATGGAAAATACGTTTGAAAATGTAATGATTCAGAATTTTGCTGAAATCTTCAATGTGAAAAATAGACAACCAGCAACATACATACAACAACCACACTGGCAAGAATTTGAGTCAGTTGAATGCTGTTATTGTATTTTGTATATAAATAATTTATAATGTTACATCACATAGATATTGGTTTATATAATCTGTAAGAAAGAATGCTTTCATTTGTGAGTTACTAAATCTTACTACGAGAGTTTTTAGCAAAGTTTTATAAAGGCTTAAAGTAAACTTTGCTTACTTACTGGGATTCTGGCAATTTTCACAAGTTTTTTTAAACTTCATGTAGTAGCCGACGAGCAAAATTACAAATGTTATAAAAATTTCATTTTGATTCTACTAGCCAAACCACTATACTAATGTACTTGCCTGTTGAACTAAGTTTAAAAAATCGAAAAGAAAAACATATGTGTACATTATACAAACATTAAAAAGAAGAAAACATCTATACAACATCATTCTGTTCTCAAATTACAACATGCTTATACCCTACTAAAACTTTTGTATTACAAATGTTACAATATTTTACATTTTTTGCATGTTGAATTTTTGAATTTCAATATGACCAAGCTTTTTAAATATTTTTAGAGCTGTCAAGAGGACAGTCCTCAACTTTTCTCACTGCTTGAAATAAGAAACCTTTCTTACTAAAAATTTTGGCTAAGACTTTACAGAAAATAAATTTCTTACTACCTCCCTTTCTTTACATGAAATGTAAATTCGGTAATATCTTTACAAAAAATGCTTTTTGGAACTTACAATATTGATAAATCTTCATTTGAGCATCATGTTTATGTTATAAAACCATAAAAACTTTAAGTACAGGATCTTTAACTATTTTTCATCTTCTAAAATCAGTAATATTTGTTTATGGCTACAAATTAATTCAATAAATATCTGGAATGTTTATAAATCAGTAGACAAAATAGATTCAAATCACAGATAACAAACATATCACACTATTATACAATCAAAATAAAATAAGTATGTTTTAAAACATATCTTTAAAAATAATTCAAATGCATTTTTGGTGTTTGCTTTAAAATGTGTATCACAGAAACTGTAAAAATTAAAAAAATACATATGAAATACATTACATAAAATACATCAAATAAGCTGGATTTTTATGGACAGATAAATTAGGTTTTAATGTAATAACCTTGTTTGTTAGGTTTTATGTCAGATTTCAAAATTTTGTAAATCAAATTTTCTTTACTGGATTATCGAAAAGTTACAATTAAATATAGTTTTTTTTTGGGTTTTTCAAATAAAAATTTTTTCCAAAACAACAGCAGCATGAAAATAAATGACAATAGGCTGTGAAAAACTAATATGAAAATCATTTTGAACCAAATCAGTTAGAAGCAAATCATCATGGAAAAGTTTGTGACAGACCCAGGAATATACAGCTAGAATGAGACTGATTGCTGTCGGTAATGTATGATAAGAATGACTTGAATGGTAATGAACACATATTTATTACTGCTTTATTTCAATATATTGCAAAAAATGCCCAGATATTTTAGTTTCTTAAGCTTCAGACATTTAAATATTGCAGAAAACATCATATAGTATGAAAAAAATATAAGAGTAGGCCTGTTCCTTTAAATATAAGACGAGTCTTGTTGTTTTAGGTGATTTATGCAGTGCTTGGTTAAAATCTGTATTGTTTTCTTTCTAATATTATTATATAAATTATATGATTAATCTGTTTTCTTATTAAATAAATATTCATAATTCTGATTCCTTTCTTATTCTAAAAAAATACATAACTAAACATTGATTTATTAAATTTTATAAACTCAAACATAGAGGTACCTCACTAAAATAATAATATTTAAGTTTATTTCAATCTGAAAGCAAAGGGAGGGTCAAAATTAGTAATGCAATATCACCCTTTTGTAATAACATTTATAAATATACATGTTACACATGTATTGTGTATTGAAAACTTGTTGCCAAAAAAAAAAAAGCATGAATAGAAAATGTGTTTGGTTTTCACATTTTAATATAACATCTCCCTTTATACTTCCTATAACTATTATCATTTGAGAATATTTTAATATTTTCTAGCCTCAGTGAAATATAAACTATATCACATCAATGAAAACAAATATCATGTATACATACAAGATTTGTGATAAATACAATAATATAGACATGTATGATTATGTAGATAAAAGTTAATATCATGGACGGACAACTACAACTAACATAACATAAGAATAATACATTGCCATGGTAACAAACAAAATATACAGTCAATATATCACTAAATCTATAAATTTCTCCTGGTATTGTGGTTTTGATTATAATTTAATGATTATGAAAATTTAGTCATGTAAAGCATCAAGGACGGAATGTTTGTGACTAATTTCTACAGTAAATACTTTTATAAAACATATAAAAAAGATATAATCATTTACATATTCTGTATGTTTTTCTTGTTACTGCTTCTATTAAACTATATAATATCATATGACTGACAATATCAAAATAAAATACTGGCAGTTATATTCTCTTAAAATATCATACACATTATTAAATTTTGTAATCAGCTGCTGTAGAAATAATGCATAGTAAGGTTTAATACAATGTTTTATGACAGTTCAGTATGTATAGGCTATACTTTCACAATATTCCATAGATATAAGTCTATACTGTATGAATTGTGAAAAACTACAATGGTAATGTACACAGTATTTGTCTTGGCTAAAATTAATAAAACACACTGAACTGTAATACTTGTGTATTATATGCACCAACTAAATAACTTATTAATCAAGACATTTCAATATCCATTAACTAAACTTGATGACCATATTACTGTACAGTAGTTATACTATACTGTGCTGTTCATGTATGCACTAGCTATACTATACTGTACAATTCAGTATGTACCAGCTATATGCTACTATACAGTTCAAAATGCACTACCTATACTATGATTTTGAAGACGGAAGCCCATAATGCATTGGTGGTAAACTAGCAACGGACAAATCTTCGCAGTAGGAATTGTCTGGGGAGTCTGCATGACGTGGACTGTGAAATCCAACTCTGGTACTGGCCTGGTGTGTGCGGACTCTAGGGCTGACCATACTGTCATCAAAGTAACCGCCTGAAGACAGAAGTGCTTGCGCCTGGGACTGTGACCTGGCAATTATAGCATTGATTGCTTCCATTCTGTTTTTGTGTTTTCTGTGGAAAATAAAAGATGTTTTTTTAGAATTAATTATAATTTATTCTATAATTTCTAGTGAATATATATAAAACTTCACCTAAACATGTGTGGGTTTGGCTAGCTTGTAAAAAGAAGAAGAAGAAAAAAACAAAGCAACCGTTACACATCTTTTAACTCAAAATGAATTCTTTATTTATTTGTAACACAATTTCAGAGTTACAGTCATCACAAATCTATAATGGTTGAGAATTATGATATAATAAACTTAAAGAAAATTTCAAATAAATATTCTGATTTTTACATTACAAAAGTTATTTTCATTAAATATACTGAATTTCACTAACAAATTATTAACTAACAAAGTAATTTTCGTAAAAATATACTGATTTTTAAAAAACAAATTCATAAAAGAGAACATTATAAGTATCATTTTTAAGATAAATATATTTTTCACTTATTTCTTATAATAACACAAAGTTAAAGTATTTGTTACGAAGTGAGCATTGTGAGTTTTAAGTTTTATATAATAACGATAAGGGTATAAGTTACATTTAATAAATAACATGAACAATGTAACATGTGAATATTAATATGTCATTAAAAGTGAAAACAAGTGGCGTTCAGTATATGATGGATAATTAGAAATTTCTAAATGTTCCTGGCCACACAAAACTTAGTGCTATAAGAGAGCATTATCAATTGCTCTCAAAAGGGTAATAATTTTAGAAATTAAATACATCAAAAACTGTCTGAATTACATATTACCAGCTTTACATATTAACATTACAATTAAAATGTGCTATAAATGTGATTAAATAGGCATTTTTTAATGTAAATTAATCAACTTTTAATTAGAGTTTTTTGTTGTTAAATATCAACTTTTAATAAAACAGGACCATGCTTTAACTACTGTGTCATGTTTTAGTTTATTGCATCAGGTATAATAATATAAGACAAATGTAAGAACAAGGTGATTTATTCTTCTGTTTACCTGTTCACAACTGGCATAATTGGTGTACTCTCTAAACTTAATAAACATACCAAGAAATGAAATATTTCATATAATAATACTTTTATTTTAAGGTCAAACTGACACTCATACACTATTATGGTAAGTTTCCCGCTTTATGGATGAGGGAGGATTGCATGTCCCTATATAAATTATTTCAAGTATAAAACTAGCAACCTTCCATAAGGTATTAAAACCTAAAGAAGAATAGGACAAGTGTTCGCCCTTAAAATATATATATGTTTAAACCACTCTGCCAAGAAAGCCTCTTATTTCAGATATGAAGGGATTTCTCCAGAGTAGTTAAAATAAAAATAAGTAGATGAAAGCGCCCGAAGTGTAAAAACAATTTCCAAAGACAACGACAGATATTCTTTAAATTTTATATAGGGCAATACATCTTTTAAAATCCCGCTCAGTATTAACTGGTTTGATTAGTTATATTACGAAGATGAGGAGTTTTTATAAGCTATGTTTTTTGCATTTTAATTAGCCTTGGTTCATTTTTATACATTAGAGTTTAATTTATTAGGTTATGTAGACAAGATATTTTACTTACTTTTCTCCGGAAGGTGGATCACGTCTCCGATAATGATGTAACTGTTTACGTAACCTTTGACAATCTTCTTCTAGTGCCACTAACGACGTCTTAGTGATCTGATGTAAGGATTTCTCTGTACTTAGTTCACCCTGCACTTCCGCTACCTGTTTTCGTAACCTAGATACAAGGGACTCGGGACTCTTCTCTTTGTCTCCACCCCTTGTTGAGTCTAGATGTGTAGTCATTTGACGACTCAGATCTTGAATTACTCGATTCATCTCCTGCCTGTAATAATGGTTACCCATACATTTAACAATAATAATGGTTACCAATACATCTAACAATAACAACGGTAACATATTACATTTAACAGTAAATGTTTCTGAAATTTCAGTATATAAAAACCTTCAATCTGACCATGGAATATATATTGCAATTGTTTTATACTGTGTATGTACCTATTTTGAATCACGTTAAGAAACAAAAGATCATGTAATTGAATGTATAATACTAAAATACAAATCACAAGGTAACTTACCACATGGTTTTATCCGAGTCACCTGACTGTTCTACTTTCCTAGCTAGAAAATTACGTAATCTTTTCAATTCTTCTTCCTGTGCTTCAAACCTGTTCATGTGAAAAAATATTTTGAATATTATGTTTTAACAGGTATATTATTAAAATAAATGACATTAAATTCTACAGATATACATTTTTGTTTGTTTTGCATAAAGAAAAACAAAGTTTAGAACACCAGATGCATTATTTTATAAAGTGGCATATCCAAAAATGAAATAATAATATTGGTGTTTGTGAGCTAAATATTATTTGATATGCCAAACAAACAAATGTTCTATTTATTTCATGAATTTCTTAACGGTTATATTTTGTCCTTTTTTACTGATTTTTTGCAGGACAGAAAAGTGGTTTTCAAAAATATGTTTAAATATTGTTAAAGTCCTCCTTTAAATTTTGAAATAGTCAATTGTTATTTTAAGACTTTTTACTTATAAGATGCTAGATATCATAAGAAATTGAAAAGAAATGTAAGATCAACCAAAGTAACTAAATCCCTAGCCCATAAAATATGACTATTGTAATAGCTAAAATTACAGAACAGCTGTACAAATTGCTATAAAACCTTTGAAATAAAAAGTAAAATATTTGGTTCATGTTTCAGGTTACACTTCCTCTATCACAGTTGTATAAAAGTTTTCATTCTTTACTGGTCAAGGAAGGGCTGCAATGTATTTAACATTAGTTCAGGCACAATAATCCGGACATGGGAGTGCACACTGTGTTCAGAATAAATTATAAAGTTTGTACAGGTTTGATCCCATAATTATACCCATCCTTTCAAAATCAGTTTTCTCTGTCATAATTTTTAAATACCTGTTAATGTATAATATACACACAGAAAAAATACTGGTAACACTTCAATCTTAGCCACACTCTATATAATTATATATATATATATATATATATATATATATATATATATATATATAATGAATGCAATGGTGTGTACTTTTGTCTAAAATTACCTTTTTTTCTATAAAAAAATATGAACACCCAAAAATTGAGTCAACAAAAAATAAGAAAGTTCCACACAAGTGCAGGTTAGTTTAATGTGTATGACTTCAATCAGTAAAAAAAAACTTTGTGCTGTTTTATATTTGAGCACCACATTTCTAAATCCTCACCACTTCTCTTCAAGCTGAAGCCTGTATTATACATGTAGTAAAACAACAGCTAATTTCTTGTAAATTTTTCTAAATATCATTAAAAACTAAGATTTTTATACCAATTTCACTCCTAAAATTTAAACAAGTTTTGTAAATAGAAAGTAACATTAAGTTTTTTTGTGGTTATATTATAACAAGATATGTTTGTAAAACATGTATGCCCCCTATCAGCAGCCAATTAGTCATGTGATAAGGTTATTATGCATGACTTCTGACCCAGTGATCAAACAATTAATAAGGGTTATAAAGTATTTACTGGTCATGACCTTGACCTTTGACCTCTTGACCCAAAACTCAATAGGGGTCATCTGCTGGTCACGACCAATCATCATACAAAGTTTGAAGTTCCTAGGCCTAGGCGTTTTTAGTAAATTGATCAGAAACCGTTTTTACCTACAAGGTCAATGTGACCTTGACCTTTGACCCCTTGACCCCAAAATCAATAGGGGTCATCTGCTGGTCATGACCAATCACCATGCCTAGGTTGAAGTTCCTAGGCCTAAGGGTTCTCTTATTATTGATCGGAAACCGTTTTAACGTACAAGGTCAATGTGACCTTGACCTTTGACCCCAAAATCAATAGGGGTCATCTGCTGGTCATGACCAATCACCATGCCAAGTTTGAAGTTCCTAGGCCGAAGCGTTCTTTAGTTATTGATCAGAAACCGTTTTTACTTACAAGGTCATTGTGACCTCGACCTTTGACCCCTTAATCCCAAAATCAATAGGAGTAATCTGCTGGTCATGACAAATCACCATACCAAGTTTGAAGTTCCTAGGCCTAAGTGTTCTTGAGTTATTGATCAGAAACCGTTTTTACTTACAAGGTCAATGTGACCTTGACCTTTGAACCCTTCACCTAAAACTCAATAGGGGTCATCTGCTGGTCATGACCAATCATCACACAAAGGTTGAAGTTCCTAGGCCTAAGCGTTTTTAGTTAATTGATCGGAAACCGTTTTTACCTACAAGGTCAATGTGACCTTGAACTTTGACCCCTTGACCCCAAAATCAATAGGGGTCATCTACTGGTCATGACCAATCACCATACCAAGTTTGAAGTTCCTAGGCCTTAAGGTTCTTTAGTTATTGATCGGAAACCGTTTTTGCTTTCAAGGTCAATGTGACCTTGACCTTTGACCCCAAAATCAATAGGGGTCATCTACTGATCATGACCAATCACCATACCAAGTTTGAAGTTCCTAGGCCTTAAGGTTCTTTAGTTATTGATCGGAAACCGTTTTTGCTTACAAGGTCAATGTGACCTTGACCTTTGACCCCTTGACCCCAAAATCAATAGGGTTCATCTACTGATCATGACCAATCACCATACCAAGTTTGAAGTTCCTAGGCCTTAAGGTTCTTTAGTTATTGATCGGAAACCGTTTTTGCTTACAAGGTCAATGTGACCTTGACCTTTGACCCCTTGACCCCAAAATCAATAGGGGTCATCTACTGATCATGACCAATCACCATACCAAGTTTGAAGTTCCTAGGCCTTAAGGTTCTTTAGTTATTGATCGGAAACCGTTTTTGCTTACAAGGTCAATGTGACCTTGACCTTTGACCCCTTGACCCCAAAATCGATAGGGTTCATCTACTGATCATGACCAATCACCATACCAAGTTTGAAGTTCCTAGGCTTTAAGGTTCTTTAGTTATTGATCGGAAACCGTTTTTGCTTTCAAGGTCAATGTGACCTTGACCTTTGACCCCTTGACCCCAAAATCAATAGGGGTCATCTACTGGTCATGACCAATCACCATACCAAGTTTGAAGTTCCTAGCCTTAAGGTTCTTTAGTTATTGATCGAAACCGTTTTTGCTTTCAAGGTCAATGTGACCTTGACCTTTGACCCCTTGACCCCAAAATCAATAGGGGGTCATCTACTGGTCATGACCAATCACCATACCAAGTTTGAAGTTCCTAGGCCTAAGGGTTCTTTAGTTATCACTCGGAAACCATTTGGTCTACGGACCGACGGACCGACGGACCGACAGACCGACGGACCGACGGACCGACAAGTGCAAAGCAATATACCCCCTTTTCTTCGAAATGGGGGCATAATTATTCAATTCAATTTATCAGTCAGCATGAAAGATTATTTCTTGTTTACTAAATTAAAATCATGAGAAACCTTACTTCTAAAAACTGTATTTGATTACACCCATACTCTCGGAAAAGCTAAAAAGTTCTTCTATTTATAAAAAAAGAAAATGCAGTGGCAGATATCCCCAGTTGCTAATTGCTTACCATTTTTCTTCCATTTCCAAGCTAGATATATAACAAAACATGACTTTCAAGATATATATTTGATGTAACAAAAAAATTTCAAAATGTGCTTCAATACCAAACACATGGAACCTTCACAAATAATGGCACTTATTATATTTGCTATGTTATATAGTTTTATTGACAAAGTATCTTACAATTAACAGATCAAACAGGTATATTTAAATTTCAGGAAAAAACTATCAACGTACGTGACATGACAAATGAGGAAACATCAGGAGGCAAATTACATTTCAAGTTTGATATAAATTGTTAAAATTAATGTGAAACAACTAAAAAGCTGGCTCTCATTAAATTTTGGCCTTCGTCTCCATTAAGTCAAAATTAATAAAGAAATAAAACACACCAAAAAACTTGAACACGTGTTTTTAGATCTGAAACAAAATATACATTCATGCCTGTTAACAATTAAACAGAAAAAATACATGAATTTCACATGTTAAGCTTTCAAACATAACAAACAGACAATGAAGTCTGATGAAATGTTTATATATATATATAGAAATGCTGTAAGAGGAACAGAAAAGAATTGAATATACAATGTACCTAGCATGTAACTCCATTTGTTTATCAGCCTCTATCTTTAATGTATCCTCAGCATGTTTCTGTTTCACCTTACATTCTCTAACATTATCCTCTAGCACCAATAATCTCCTCTTGTAGCTATCGTTACAAAACAGTATAACATTTA